GGGGGGCTCACCCTTTCATACTTTGAAACTCCCCTGCTCTATCACATTATGATGGCACACTGTTAGCAACCATCAGGCTCTCTCTGAACACACCAAAAACATAAGTGGCTCACTAAACTGTCTTGTTTTCATTTTTTCCACCTCTCAGCTTATCTCTTACCATTCACCGTCATTCCAACAATAATAGTATCATTCATTGCTTTTATTTCATTTGATTTGAAAAAGCAAAACACTCAGAGTGTCAGGGATAAATAAAACCAGCAGATGCAACGTTCAGAAGATGCAGTGACTATTTAGGGTGGGAATTCAGCTTTCTCATGGTTAATCAATTATTGAAATAGTAGTCAAATAATCATCAAATAGTAAAAAATTAAACTGTTTATTTGCATCTTTTAATTTATTTCTAATAATGTTAAAAAATAGCTCAAGTTGCCATGAAAAAGGCAACTTGAGCTAAAAAATGTGCCATTTTTTATCCAATTAATCAACTAATTGGGAGACTGATTAATTTCTGAAATAATCGTTAGTTGCAGCCGTAGATAATAAAGATGATACTGACTTTAGTAAAATGCCTTGACACAATATTTGTTATGAATTGGCGTTTTATAAATGACCAACATTTTCCATATTTGGTCACCTACATCATCTCTGCATGCCAATAACATGACGTTTACTGCCATTGAAGCTTGTTGATATCATAGATCAAGATTTTAAAGCCCATGGAGATTGGTGATGATGGAAAGGAAAACATAAAATAATTGTCAAGATTGGCATAAAATATTGGAACATCATATTGCCAGTATTTCTGGATTTTCTTTTTAATAAATCAAGCACCCTTACAGACTTGTTTCCTGAATGTTTGGGAATTTGGTAGCAGAGAACATTCCTAAATATCCTGAGAGTCAACAGAAATGTAGATTTTCTGTGAATGAGACTCAAACCATCTGCAGTGAAAGTGTTTTCCCCAAATGGTCTATAGTCAGCATTACCGTATTTATCGGACTACAAGCCGCCACTTTTTCCCCACTCTTTGAACCATGCCCGGTGCAGCTTTTCTGAGGTGCAGGTGTCTATCTCCAGCAAACATTTCGGGCGAGAGGCGGGGTCACCCTGGACAGGTCGCAGGGAAGTGAATCTTTGGAATTCAAAATTGGAAATCAATGAAAGTTCTGATTTTCATTTCGAACAAGCACGTGCTAGCAGCAAGCACGACGGAGAAATTTTTTCAAACTCATACTCCCTCATCATGGAAACCACACAAAGAAGTTCATATGAAGCAGCTTTTAAGTTGAGGGCTATAGATCTGGAAGTACAGATCGACAGCCGCTGCCATTTGTACTTACGCTGGCTTTGGAGACGCAGAGCTGCTTAATAAACCTTAATAAACAGTAGATTTATTAAGGATGCTCCCTCTACTGCGTCCTTGTTGAAAACCGGGAGCGGCAGTAATACCAGCAGCTTATAGCCCAGCGCAGCTTACATATGTATGTTTCCAGTTATTTTTTTTAAACTTTGTGGGTGTGGCTTACAGTGAGGTGCGCTCTATAGTACAGTAATTTAAAAATAACTGGCTTAGTTGTGGCTCTGTAAGTATTTCTGTCTGCCACCTGAAGGTCAACCCATGTAAATCTGAAACGGTATCCTGGCACAAATTCATTCTATTTGCATAAGCATGTATCAGGGTATAAAATAAAAGGTTTTGACTGTACTCTGCTTATGGACAAAAAAGGGAGGATGCTGGCTTTAATGGATTATCTGACCAGAGAAAGCTTTAATTGTAAGCTTATTTTCAGAGTGGAACCAGCAGAAACCAAAACCAGCAGCCCCAGCGGAGGAAGGAAAAGCACATCCATCAGATCGCAAAGCAGCAGTGATGAGCCATTAATGAGATCTGAATCAAAGAACATTAGCAACGCAAAAAGTCAAAAATAAAACAAGCCAGTGTGTGTGGAAATCTAAACGCTTTGGATACACTCACGCTGCTGCTGCTGCCAATAACTGCTAGATGGATCTAGCAAAATTGTGTTTTTTCGACATTAGGGAATATTAAAGTTTTGTATACATTTGTAACGGAAATGTTGCGAGAGGTACGATGTCAGCATCAACATTGGTATCTGCAGATGTTTGTCAGTTTTTAATATATTGCCATGGGTCTGATAAATACTGGCTTGATATTAAAAAAAATATTTCCACATTGTTGCCATTTGTATTTATGGGGGAAGGAGAGGTTGCTCCTGTGGGTTTTGTTTGGTCATGCTGATGGTGATGCAGCACAGTATTGTGGCCATTTTTTTTTACATTGTCGAAAGGGAAGCATAGGGCAATATCGATTAACAGTCATAACAGACGTATTAACATCAGCCCAAATTTTCATATGGTGCATTCCTAGTTGCTATAGTTTCCCAGTAATTTTATGAAAAGGCTACAATTTTGGAAATTGTTTCACTTCACACTGTTAAACATATTAATAGAGACTTTTACAACTTTAGTCTGCTAAACATGTTACATTTCATTTCTTTTACTTGAATCATTTATTCACTACAGGTCAGGTGAGATTTTACATTTGACTCAGGAAAATAAAATATACATATCACAACATTAAAGAACTGTTTTTATTACTTTGGTTAAAATATTTAATTTCCAGTACACTCCCATTAGAGTGACCTAAAAATTAACCAACAATTTGTTAGATGAATTGAACAATCCCCCAAATATTAGTTTAACACTGTTAAACTAATCTAGAGAAGTCATTGTTAAGTGCAGCCCCAACTGTCACATTTACAAACCTCCCATGAAAAGAAACTTTCAATAACCAAATCTCAACCACATCCTGTTTCACCGAGTTGCACGCCATGACCTAAAACCAAGCACTATGAAGCCCACTGCAGCACGTCTCTCTGTAAATGCATAACAAGAGGGCAAAGCGGTGTCAGTTCAATCAGAATGGGGCTTCTTGTCTGACGGCCTACTAACAGTGGGCGCTTGCAAACAGCATGGGTGAGGGGGTGTGGTGAGGGGGCTGGGTGCTAACGTCAAGAGCTGCTACATGCTGGTAGCACAGCTGCACCAGCTTCACAGGCAAGACCCAGCAGCAGCTACCAGTTTGAAGCTAACGCCGTTGTACAGCCATCAGTCAAATAAGCCTGGGAGCAAGTGACAGCTATGAGAGGGTACACCGTGGAGCACAGAACATGGAAAGGACACAATCTGCCACTGCTTTCTATTTGCCTCAGAATCGTGAGCCGGTTTTGAAACACACACCGTCAGTCAGGCTAACACAAGATTACTTCTATACATGGACAAATCGATCAGATCCAAATTGGCTAATCTTCTGTTAATCACGAATCTGATCCATTTTATTTAGGAACCACATTTAAAAGAAACAATATGTTTATCCAATATGTAAATAAAAACAAAACAGTCATCCTCTCTTTAATAATACGCACGCTACAATCCATACAACAACAAAAAAAAGTTAGCAACAGATCGATGTCAATTCACCTGTTTGTTGATAGGTACGCCAGTGTCATACTGATATGTATAGAGGAATTATTTGCTTGTAAACACAGCCGATGAGCGTGGAACCTGACTGCAGCAAAAGCCTGGCCGGCTAAATATGAACCAAATTCATATTTAGCGCATAAATTACAGATGAAATACAATCATTTCTTCCCATTTTGGTCACAAATAGCAGAAAAGGGTGGCGCCCCCCAGGGGCAGCAGCCCAAGAAACCCCATCTGATGGGCTGTGCCCAAACAACATTTTGTTGCGCTTGTGTACAACAACAATGAAAGCATTCTGATTATGAAAATGAAGATGTAGTTGCATCCATGAAGGCAGGGGAAAAACTAACCCATTACAAATCAAAATGGCAGCGGGTTTGAACAGGAGGTATTGTGAGATACAGAGGATGTCCTAAAAATAAAAATGACCTGCGCTGGAGGCGAGTTGAAAATTATTTTATTAGCCTAATTGTAAATAGTAAATAGTTCAAACAGCTATTTTTTTCCTGCCTTCTAAAGATGACATGCGTAGCAGAGTAGCTGACAAAATGGGCATTTATCGCATTGTTTATCATTTATTGTAATAAATTTCTCCTAAGTCCTTTGATTAATCACTCTCACAATAAACTCCAACTAACTATTGTTAAAATCTCCTAAAACTGTCCGTATTTTCAAGATTGATAGTTTTGCCATTTTCTCCACTCTATTCTTCAATGAAGGCATCAATAAATACCAATAAGGTTGAAAATACAGTTACTGAAATCAGCTTAGTGACACAGATCACACTTCATTTTGAAAAATGGCCGTTTAGGGCTGGTGATCGAACCAAATGGACTAAAAATATATCTCTTTGTGGCATGTATTTTTTGTTACAAAAACTACAGAGAATGCAATGTCTCCTTTCTCAAATCCCTGCAAACTACATGTGGAATCCAAACAAAAGAAAACTAGAACGCGATGAAACGACACAAACACATACTTTAATGAATTAAATAATAATCTTATAATTGCCTCGCTGTTAATAGGATTCAAAAACTACCAACACTATCAACCAAATCTACACCATTTTGTTTTACTTCTATGAGTTTCATTCTTTTGGAAATTTGTTTATTTTTTTAATTGGCCCAAATTGGAATTGGCAGATCAAGCCTCAAAGAAAAACAAAAATCGGTTGCAGTGATCAGGAAAAGCCTGATCAGTGCATTTTCAGTTTTAAAAAAAAAGAAGAAAAAAAAAAGGCATGCACATTCTATAATAGTTGTTCCCGTTTTTGGTGTGTGCTTGCAGGAGGCCGGAGAGCAACAGTGTGGTTTTGCAGAAAAACTGAACAGACAGAAAAGCCTTTTTGTTTAAATCAAGCATGTACAGTAGGGACAGGTTTGACAGTAAGCACGCCTCCTTCCTCCTATGCAGCCAAATACGCTTCACAAAGACTCCATGTTAATTGCAAACAGGCACAACCACTTAACATCACAGGGCCTCGCTGATGAGCTTACCTGGGCTCAGGGAGGATGATTTTCTTACTGGCTCGGGCGGCAGGAGTAGACTTGCTCTTCTCCATCGCCATCAAATAGCTGACATCGGCGAGTACCGCTTCGAGGTCCGCCATTTTTCGACCCTTTGGAGGAGCAAATGAATAAAAACAGCAGGCTTCCTGTGGTACTTTAAAAAAAACTATTGAGGGAATTAAAAGAACCGTTTCCTCCAGCGGGGAGGACCACCATCAAGGGCCGAGGTGTGATGACAGGGGGTGTGGGGGGTCCGGAGGAAGCGGAATCGTGTGGATGTCTGCGGCTGCTAACCTCAAGCCACCATCATCATTAAGACATAAAAAGGGAATTCATGGGGGGGGACATTAAGGTGGGCAGATCGGCTCAAAAATTTAAATAAGTCGCAGTCCGTGGATCAGCTCGATCGCCGTCCTTGCAATCCCATTTGGCGCAAAACTGCAGCCGGATTGCGCCGTGTGACCGCCGGGAGGAAAGGTGCTAAAATAAGCAGGATCGGGCTCGTTTTGGTGTCAGCGCTTCCTCGCCTCACAGGGCTGCCGTGATATGCAGCCTTAGTGGACAGCTGTCAAATTCTGCACGTCTCTCGGGACTTCCTCGCTGAAAAAAATGTGCCCAAACGATCGGTTTGTCTGCAGTTCCACATGGGGTTCCGATTCGGGATTTTCCCTTCAAATGTAAACAAATGTGCGGTAAGGAGGGGATGGGGGGGTCCAATTTGAGAGAAATGGCAGGCGGAGTCTGCAGTCAGAACGTGAGATGTAACTCCCGATTGTTTTTGTGGCCTCGATAGCAGCAGAGGGTCTGCGTTACAGCAAACAAACAGGAACACGTGTGGCTCGTTTTGCTCGAACGATCACATTTAGGGAAGGGGAGGGGGGCGGATTTACTGAAAAGACCTGAATAAGACCCTCCAGGGCAGGTTAAATGTGGCGACCCGTTGTCCTCGTCTCAAAATATTAAGAATCCTTTAAGCGAGCTTTGGCACCGATAAGTCCGTGCGATCGGAAGCTGAAAAACAAGCAGCGTTCATAATAATGACCTCCGATCAATCCCACTCTCCGCTCTCTGTGTGGCTATTTGTTTTTCCTTTTCTGCCCAGTCCTTTTTTTTCCTTCGCTCGGCTCCCTTCCTGTTGCAGCCGTAGTGCTCCGTGCGGGGCGCAGCAATCACGCCGAAAATACCGTCGGAAAAGACGCGGATAAACACCTTGAGCGCTTTAGCTCCAAATCCAGAGCCGGCACGGCGCGATTAACTAATCACAAGCCAAATCCACGCGTCGTGGAGCTAACCTGCTGTAGCCTCCTGCTGGTGTCGATATTCGGGTTCGCCTGCTAGCTAGCCAACATGCTAGCTAGCAAAACTGAAACCTGCTAGCCAGAAAGCTAAATTTCCAGCGAGCTGCTGGGTTTCGACAGCTGCATTCAAAAGCCCGTAGAGCCGCTTGTCAACACGGTTATTAGGAGCTGGTTGACTAACAGCGGTGCTGCTCCGACGCCGTGCAGTAGTTTATCTGAAAAGCTAACGGCTGCTCTTGCTTCCGTCTCCTTGTTATTGGGGAAGTTTCGCTGCGCTTCCGAGAAACAGCCCAGGAACTCGTGGAGAAAAATATCAGTAAAGATGACAAATATAGTCCATGGCTTCTCGTTGAGTTATCCCCAGCGCGGGGAGGAGAGCCAGCACGGAGCTGCACACCGTGACGGTAGCAGAGGAGGGAGGGCGCGCGGAGAGATGGAGAGCAGCTCGGCTGTCCAGCGGTGGTTTCACAGAACTGGGAGTCGAGGTTATTATCAGTTAAGGCGAAGATTGTCTGTTATATTTTCCCACGCCAAAATTGAAGAAGCACGATGGTTGTGCCGCTGTTTTTGAGGTCTTCTCACGCGGCGAGTTGAAAATACTAAGAAAACCCAGCAGAGTCGAGCAGGTCGTCGTTTTCCGCGCCAGCCAGCCAGAGCCGAGCGGTTCCTGCCTACCAGGCTGTCCGCGACAGGGGAGCCGTCTCTCTCGAGCTGCCTGAGAGGAGCACTGACGCGGGTCCCTTCGCTGTCTCGGCGACGTGTGCCAGTCGATAGAGCCCGCTCCGTTCAGTCAAGCGTATCGTTTCCCAGCAAAAATGTGGCACATGTTTGCTCGAAAACCCTCCTCGCTGTATATTTCTGTAGGCTTTTTTTTTTTTTTTTTTGCTAACGCGGTAGCGTCTCCGCTTGACTCTCGGTTCGACTTCCTCTCCCACTGCGGCGGAGAGAGGCCGGTAAAACATGGAGCGGCTTGTTCTGGGGCAGGAGCCGGAGCTCGGTGTTTAAGTGCTTGGGGAAGGAAGCATTTGCGCTTTCAGCCAGCCTCTTTTAGCGGATGCCAAATGCATGTCTGTCAGGACTTTTTTTTTTTTTTTGACGAATACATAAATGAGCGTTGGCCCGCAGGTTGAACGTACACGTACGAGTCGCGGCGCCGTGTTTCACCCTAAATATGAGAACAGCCAATGAGCCGCAGCCATTTGTGACATTTAATATCACGGCACTATATCCATCTGTCAGGATGACACGCAGCGGATTCATGCGACGTTCAGGTAGAAACGCAGTGCCCTTCCCTGGCCTGCCGCGGTAATACTTCTGTAAAATGCACTGAGAAATCTAACACCGTTTTATTGGCATATTTGTACGAGAATGACACAATCAAAGCCTTTTGCGAGCAATAGTCTGAAATTTCAATTCAACAGTATTAATGCATGTACACGTATTTGCACTGTAACAACAGCTTGATGTCTTTTGAGGCATCAAACCATCTCCAGGCTGAGAATGCTTTAGTCAGATTGGATAGGGACAATCTGTTAAATTTCAAGTCCTACCACAAATTTTCAGTTTGTTTTATGTTTTGCTTTGACTGGCATTTGAGCTCAGGTATGTCGTCCTACATGAAGATGGGATTCTATTCCAGTCTCAGGTCTTTTACAGTCTTCAGTCATTTCCCGAGAGGATTCATCTGTAATTAACTTGATCCATCCTTCCAGCTTTTTTGTTTCTGCTGCGTAAAAGCATCCAGAGCGTATTGTTGCTGCCACCAGTGGATTGGCATGCTGAGGGGGATGTTATATACCACATATAGCATTTTGCTTGTACACTACAAGCATCTTATCTGACAAGAGCACCATCTTCCGCATGTTTGCTGTGTCTCCTACATTGAATGTGGGAAAAAAGCAGGATTTTTTATGGCCTCTCCTCCAAAAATGCTAGATCCACATAGCACACACATATTTTTCCTGTACACATATTCTCCCACCTGAACTGTGGAGCTTCTCCATAGGTGCAATGTGCCATGCTTTTTCCATGTTCAGATGGTGAATTGAACATCTCAATAAGAAGATCAAAACTTGGGATGTAGTTTTAGAACTTAACCCTGCTTGACTTCGGATGGCGGACACTGTGCTACGGCTCAACAGGTCCACTTTGATGGAATCCCTCCAAGCAATACTGCAATAGTCTTATTGTAGAGACTTTCTCCTGGCATCCCATCTGAGCTTGCATGACCACCACATGGTCTAATATACCCAAATTAAAAAAGTTCCTTTTTCATGACAAAAAAAAAGCCTCGTCACCTGGACAGGACACCCAAAGCCATCTCACCTACAGATCTTTGCATTGGTGTGTGAATGAGAATGTGTGGCGTAAAGATCCATGAACTTTCAGTTCATTTATGCTAATGTTCTGACGACAACTCCCCTCAAATTTTGCTTTATTTTTTTTTTTTTGCCAATTTGTGGAATCTTGTCACCTTTTTCTGACAAGATTGTGCCGGATGTACGAATCTCCTGATCAGCCCTTGAATTTTTCTGTTTCATTTCTATATTTGATAGCTTCAATCTCTGCTTCATTTAACCTTCCACTCTGCCGTGATGAGACATTCATAAATCATTCAGATTGCTGACACTCAAGGCTGATATTTCGCGTTAACGTCTCGCTGATTAGAAAGTCATTTTAACTGGAAACGCAAATGAATGCTGGTCACAATCAAATGCAATCCGACAACAATTTTACAAATCGACCAAATCTAAAAAAGATTAATCTGAATGTAATTCTGTGGGGGTAAGATCTATAATGTATACAAACTAAACATGCTTATGCATGTTATTGATACACTTTGAAATTAAGTTGAACATTCAGAGATGAATATTTTTATCCCACTAATGTGTTCAGCCATGTTTAACATTAAATGTTAAAGTATGAGATGATAAAGTAAAGTAGCTTGAGCTACTCTAAAATAATGAAAGTCAAATCCTTGTTTCAAATGGTTGGAAGATGTTGGGCTGGAACAATTTCTCAAACGATCTGAGTACCTCGGTAATTAAAATTCCTCGAGGTAAATAATCTGCCTTGAAATTTCATTAAATTATGTTTCTTTTTTTATTTAGAGTACCGTCTTCCAGTTGGGTGATTATTAGTGTCGCACAACGCTTTGACTTTGCTTATGACATGTAGACGAATGCTAATGTTAGCAGCATAACCTCAAATTATTAAGTTTGATCCGGGGGAGATGTAGGTATTTTGTTGATTTATGATAATGTCAAGGTTTTTATCATTTTGGGGAGGATACAGAACATACAGAAACATTAAAACATTGGACCTTAAAGAAATACTAACCTTGGTTTTAGGTTTAATAAATGACAGTTATAATCTATTTATTAGTTGAGGATCTGAAAAGATGAATATTCCTTTGAATCAAATATTTTCTTTGGAATTTATGTTTATAGACTAATAAGTATTTTATTAAACGCTGCTGCTAACACTTGTTTGCATTTGTTTATTGTCACAAAATGCAGAACCGGTCCAGACTGAAGTAAAACATAATGGCCGTTAGGGCCAAAAAGGCATCAGGAGCCTCCTCAGAGCATTTGATTTCTTATGCAGAAATCAAATACTTGAGGTAAACATTTAAAGTTAAGTTCACCATAAATGAGGCTACAATAAAAAGAAAGAAAAAGGATCCAATTCTTTCTTAAAGGTTAAAAAAGAATATTGAAATTTAAATTTTCTAACAGTTAAAGTCTAATGAGATACAACATTTAAATCTTACTAAATTCTCTGCATTCATGTTCTCTAATTAGTTAATAGTCTTGAATGTAAGAGTTTCCCAAATAAAACTCTGCGTCTGTCCACACTCAGGCATGGGTCAGATCTGAGAAAATGATTAACAGATTTTTCTGTTAATCCATTTTGTAAATACCAGAAACACATTAAAAGAATTTTGAAACAATTTGTTTTTTAATTTTCGCAAACCTTTGAGGTGCTAAAAACAACATTAAATAGGTCTGCTTCATAAATGTCCAAACTGAATAATTAAAAAACCATTTTGGAGGTTAAAAAAAACTGCTCAGATAATATCCGTAATGAAAATGGGCTATTCTATTTGACAAAAAAAAAAAAAAAAACCTAGAAAATTCAAGATAAACTATTTACTGGATTCTTTATTGGACTATTTTCCACTTTTGCAATGATTTACCGGTACCCTGAATACCATCACCGGTGAAGAAGTGAACATATTTCATCAAATCATGAGGCAAAAATGTGCAACATGTTCCTCAGATAACCAGATACACTGGTGGAAATCAGTAGGATTTAAGAAAAACAGTTTATTCAGCATCAGAAGCCAGAAGAGGTCGTGGGTGAAGGGTCAAGCGGGAAATCGGGTTCATTTCGTGAGTGGGCTGTTACTGCTGAATGCGGCGGATGGACTGGATCTGAGGGGTCTGGCAGTGGGAGCCAAACTCCCTGAAGTGTTTGTACTCCCCACAGTGACGATCACACTCCATGATATACTGGTAGCCACGATAACCAGGGTACTGGTAGCAGACAAATCTGTGGGGGGGTGAGGGGTCAAAGCAGGAGGAAGTAAGTCCAAAATGTCATTGTGTAAAACTCCAAGCAGATTTCAGGAAAGTAGCTGGGAACACTCACGCTCCTGACTGGACCCTGAAAGATCCAACTTCGTTGTTGCACCAGCCCATCGCCTGGAGGGAGGGATAATCGTCACTAAGCTCACCTTTACGGCCCATAAAGTTCTCACGCTCGAAGATAGTCATACGACACTCTCTGTGGTTCTGCGGAGGGGGCACACCAGGGTGGGAGAAGTAGAAAAACAGAAACACTCAAGTTGTTAGTCTGGTCAAACAGGTCTAACGTTATTATCCAAAGTTAGTGGATAATATTACACTGTCACAATATTACAGGGAACAACTTTCCCGTAAGCAACTGACAAGTAGAGACTTACAGCACAGGCAATAGGTCTGAAGGAAGTCATCCTCTCGATGTGATAGGCATTGCTGCCTCCAAAAGCATCACACTGGGGGTACTCTCCCCTCTCCAGGATGAACTGCTGTCCCTGGTAGGAGGCGTGCTCATAACCCACCCAGCTGGGACGAAGCAAGGGAAAGCAGCTCTCCGTTAGTACGGACAAATCTCAGCGTGCTATTTCGGCTGTCCAGCATCGACTTTTATGACAGTGCTGCAGTTTGTGCTGCCCTCTTCGAGCAGATGTACTCACGCTCCGCTCTCCACCCTGAGGGAGCGCACACTCTCGAAGCCGAACTCCATCACATTGCAGCACTCGGAGGTGAACTCGTGGTGGCGGCCCTGGAAGCACTCCTCATCATAGACAATAATCTGTGAGGAAGATGGCGAGAGGTTGTGAAGAGAATACTTTGGACCCAGAATCACAAACTATCTCCAAAACTCACAACAAGGCAAATTAGCCACATTAGCCAACCTATGTTAAGGCTTGGGACTGTTCATTTTGCTAGCTTGTTCAATCATTGGGGCCACCAGAGGAAATCTCATCTTTGGGATGCATAAAGGTTTGAAAAAGGCCTGGTGATGTCATAGTCTACTCCAACACCTGTGGACTCACCTTCCAGTGGCCGGAGAACTTGGTGCAGTGGTGAGTCATCTTGTCTGGAAGGAAGAAGAAGAGCACTACTTTAACAATGCTACCAAGAAAAGGTGTGGCAGGAGGCAAGTACCTCCTGCAGTTTGAGAGTCCATGCTTTCATCTAAGTGTAGAGCAATAAAGCCATTGCAACAGCTTGGAAAGCTTGAAGATAGTCACTCAGGAGAGAACATTAGGATAAAACCTGACCTGCCTTACTTCAGTACTTCATTCTACACCTCAAATAAATAAGATAGTTACTTGAGTGGCCCAAGTGTACAGCAATTGTATGTGTGGAAATCCTGAAAAACTCCTCCACTGTGGTCAAGGTGCTTTCAGTCCACTGGAACCGAACACCAGAACTGTTGGCATTCATTAATTGTTGTCTACTTTTGGCTCCCTCTCTC